TTGAGTATTTTGCATGCAGGTGTGTATGTATGTCAAGGATATGCATGCCTGGTGCCCTCAGAAATCAAAAGAGGGTGTTGGATTCCCTGGGACTAGAGTTATAGATGATTGTGCGCTACCATGTGGGTGCTGAGACTCAAACCCAGGTACCCTTCAAGAGTAACAAGCACACTTAAGTACTAAGCCAACTGTCCAGCCCAGGCAGCCAGAGTTAAAGTACCATACAAATGGCCCATATCCCAGGTCCCAGTAGAGTCATGGTTCTCTGAAACCTTTTGAGTCCAACCTTCGCTATTCACATATCTCTTACCATTTTTATCTTCCAAACTCTCACAAGAACAGGCTACTTTGCTCTACTCACAGCATTCAATGTTTTTCTAGCCCAAAGTTCTAATGTCTTCCACATTTCCTTTCAAAAACAATTCCCAAGGTTTAAAAACCACATGATCAGATTAGCACAGCAACACCTCCATTCTCTATTCCAATTTCTGCCCTCCTTTCATTTCCATATTTTAAAAAGATTGTTTTTACTATTTTCAATTACATTTATGTGTGTAGGGTACATATGAGTGCAGGTTCCTGTGGAGAACAGAAACGTTGGATGTTTCCCTGAATTGGAGTTCAAGAGTTGAAGTTCAAGTTTTTTCCAACCCACTGCTTTAACTTTTCTTTGCAGTGGTCAGTATAGCACAATGGTTGGAAACACCTATTTTTGCATTGTTTGGAAAACCGGGCCCCAGTGTTGTTTAAGTATTCTTTGATGAATCAGTTTCTATTTCTGTACCATGTTTCTTCTTTTATAATATTAACAGGAGGAAATAAAAGCCCAATGTTCTTAAAACATGGTGGGAGAGGGGGTTAAGTAGTTGAAGAGACAGCAGTGAGCTGTCAGATATAGGCTCTGAAAATTTAACAGGTCCTCTATAAGAGCATTGTATGCTCTTAACTGCTAAGCCATCTATCCATCCCCTTATTAGGCCTTGGTGTGATAAAATACCCTGATACACAAGCAAAAACAAATAAAACAAACAAACAAACAAACAAAAAACAGTAGTAGGAGTTTCTTTTGGCTCATAGTTATGGGTTACAGTGAATCATAGCAAGAAAACCACAGCAGCAGAGTCTTAAGGATACTCACTTATAAGTGGATATTAGATACATAATATGGGATAAACAGACTAAAATCTGTACAGCTAAAGAAGCTAATCAAGAAGGAGAACCCTGGGTAAATTGATCAATCATTCAAAAAGGCAAACAGGATGGACATAGGAAGAGGGAAAAAACAAGGAACAGGACAGGAGCCCCACAGAGAGACTCTGAAAGAATCTACCCAGCAGAGTATCAAGGCAGATGCTGAGACTCACAGCCAAACTTTGGGCAGAGTGCAGGGAATCTTATGAAAGAAGGGGGAGATAGAAAGACCTGGAGGGGACAGGAGCTCTACAAGGAAAGCAACAGAACCAAGAAATCAGGGCCCAGGGGTTTTTTTCTGAGACTGATACTCCAACCAAGGACCATGCATGGAGATTACCTAGAACCCCCGCACAGATGTAGCCCATGGAAGCTCAGTATCCAAGTGGGTACCCTAGTAATGGGAACAGGGACTGTCTCTGATTTAGCGGCTGGCTCTTTGACACCCCCCCCCCGCCTTGGGGGAGCAGCCTTACCAGCCACAGAGAAAGACAAAGCAGCCAGTCCTGATGAGACCTGATAGGCTAGGGTCAGAGGGAAGAGAAGGAGGACCTCCCCTATCAGTGGACTTGAGGGGCATAGGAGGAGATAAAAGAGGGAGAATGGGGTTGGGAGTGGATGAAGGAGAGGGAGCTACAGCTGGAATACAAAGTAAATAAACTAATTAATAAAAAAAAATAAATTTTTAAAACAGGAGGCTTTTCATCTCACATCATAATCAGGAACAGGAGGAAATCCATTCATGCTCAACTCTTCACTTTTATACAGTCCAAGACCCCAAACTCCAGAATGGTGCCGCCCAAAATGAGCTGGCTTTCCTACCTCAGTTAACATAAGCAGGGAAATCCTCCATTGACACACCCATGGGCCAGCCTATTTTACACAGCCCCTCAGGTCAGGGGATTCTACATTATGTCAAGTTGACTCTAAAACTAATTCACAGCTGCCGTACCCAGACAGGAATATTTAGATATCTTGCAAAGCAGACAAGCAGAAACTAATAACTGACTGGGAAAAATCTAGTTGGAATGTTGGAGCAGATGACTGGAAATTTCATATTGTGGGGAAAAAAAAGGATATCCTGTTTCTCTTACCCACAAGGCTTTATTCTACTTTATGGACATAAAGCACAGGCATGGTTCTATGTCTTCAATATAGCCTACCAGATATTTATGGCAGCTATATTGTTTCTTGGAACTCTTTTCCTTCATGCTAAATATTCCATTTATCTCCTCACATACTTCCAGCTCCCCCCTTCATCTCAGTCACTGTCTTTGAAGAGCCTTAATTTGTGTGGGTCGCCATACTAACACTGTCATCTTTGTGTGTCCTTATGTACAATGGAACCTAAGAGTAGAAGAGTTTTTCAGGCTAATTGCATTTGGGTTTTTGGCAGTTTCACCTCATTGTCTTTGTACTTGCCCAGCATTATGGGACATCAAGTCTCAGCGAGATGTGGCTGCCCCCAAACCAGCGAGGAACAGCTCGGAGAGACACAAGCCTGGGGTTTTTAATGGAAAAAGCACAGGAAGCATGGAGGTTGCAAGCTTGGCAACACTGGATTGGGTAGGGTAGCTGAGTTTTAAAATGATCCCTTCATTTTAGGCGCCAAGTCCAGTTAGTCCCGCCCCCTGGTTGCCAGGCAACGTTATCTTGTACTGAAGATCTGGACACTCCTCTAAAGTGGGGTGGAGACCTTTGGCATTCCTTTGCAACAGGATGGGTCTTGTCTCAATTCATTAGCTCCTCCTTTCATCCTGCTGTCTGGAAAAGTACTAGGAGAACTTAGTTTAACATGGGGTATAGAATTCATAAAGAAACCTGTAAAGCTAGCCTGTTCCTTTCAGATGCATATTCATAGTGCATTAGGCTGGGGTCCACAAGGACATTTTATACAAGCCCATATGTATTTTGAAAATATTGCCCATACCCTTCTACTCTCCTTCTTTTGCCTCCTCTCCATCTCCTTCATTCCCTTAGACAATTGGCACTTCTACTTTCATGTCATATGTACATGCATGATTTTATATATCTATATAAATTCTAGGATCCATAAGTTAGACAAAACATAATCTTTGTTTTACTGAAAGTAGCATAATTACTAAGTATGATCATCTCTAGGTGCATCTATTTTCCTTCAAGTGGCATCATTTTGTTCTTTGTGCCTGATTAAATCACACTGTTATTAGATCACATTTTCTTTATCTGTTCCTCAGTTGACAGACTGCTAACTGGCTCCCTAACTTAGATCTTGTGAATATTGTTGAAAAAAAAAACAGTGATGAATAAGTTTTTCTGTTTTGTGTCTATCAGTTATGGAAAAGTAGAATAGTTGGGCCAGATTAATAGGCATAGGCAAACTTGCTCTATTTTAGTTGTTGAGGAACCTCTATACTGGCTAAAGTACCTTATATTCCCACCAGCAGTGAATAAAGGCTCCCAATTCTCCACATCCTCACCAGAACTGATCTTGTTTCTTTGCATAATAATGCTCTAGTCTGGATGGAATGAGATGAAGTCTCAGTGTGGTTCATTTGCATTTCTCTGAGGGTTCTTGGTGTTTTTTTTTTTTTTTTTTTGTTTTTTTCCAGAGGATTATTGGCCATTGCTTCCTCATCATTTTAGAACTATCTGTTCATTTAATTAACCTATTCATAGGTGGGGTTGTTTGATTTCTTGCTTTGTGTTTTAGTGCTTGCTTAGCTGTGTAATTGGTGAAGATTTTCTCTCAGTCTGTAGCCTGTACCAAATCTTTTAAATTTTATTCCTCAATTGTTGATATTTCCTGAGTGACTAAAATCCTTCCAGAGTTTTTGCCTATGCCTCAAAAGTTTAACTTTATTAGTTGAGTTTACCCAAGAAATTTTATTATTTGTGTGTTTATGTCTCCATGTGTGTCTGTGTGTGTGTGTGTGTGTGTGTGTGTGGTTTTTGCACCTGTGCATGTTTGCATGCGTGTGCAGGTGGGAGCACATGTGAGTGTGTCTGTGGAGGCTGGCAGTCAACACTGGGTGTCTTTATTTAACACTCTTCATCTTGTGTTTTGGCACTGCACTCTTGCTGAACCCAGAACTCAACAGTTCATCTAGAGTAGCTGGCCAAGCCCAGGAATCACCTGTTTCTGCCTCCAGGATTACAGGCACATGCCGCCACATCCATTTTTAACATGGATGCCAGGGATCTAAACTCGGATCCTCATGCTTGTGCTTTGTATTTAGATTAATTTAGTTTTTATTTTCTCACAGTTAGATTTATGTAAAGCATTTTCTATTTTCCTTTTTAATTGGTAATCTAAATTGCTAATTTTCTCATATAGATTTTATTGGTTTGTTTGTTTTTTGAGACAGGGTAGCACCATGTAGCCATGGCTGGAACTCATAATGTAAACCAGGATGGCCTTGAACTTGTAGAGATTCATCTCTCTCTGCCTCCAGAGTGCTGGGTTTAAGCACTCTAGTTTCATAATTTCTTTGTTTTTAATTGCTGAGTAGTATTCCATTGTGTAAATGTGCCTCAATTTCTGTATCCATTCTTTGGTTGAGGGACATCTGGGTTATTTACAGATTCTAGCTATTACAAAGAAAGCTGCTATGAACATGGTTTAGCAAATGTCCTTGTTGTATAGTGGAGCACCTTTTGGTTATATGCCCAGGAATGGTACAGCTGGGTCTTAAGGTAAAACTATTCCAAATTTTCTGAGAAAGCACCAGATTGATTTCCAGAGACCTGTTTTAAAGAGTAAATATGTAAAAGATATGTATAATTATACTGAAATTCTAATGTATTTTTAATTTTTTTTTTTTTTACAGAAGAGGATAAATATAATATTTATTCACCTTTGCTCTTCAAGTATTTCCTGGCAGAAGGAATCGTCAGCGGGCATACTCTACTGGTTGCATCTGCCAAAGAAAATCCTGCTGACATTTTACAGGTATAGAGTATAGAACTTCAACGTATGTTCTCAATGCTTCATGAAATATTTACATACAAACAAGACATGTAGTTACAAATTATAATTAAATACATTAAGGGGAGGTTTTTGTTTTTGAGCCAGGGTTTAACTCTAGATCCTTGCTGGCTTCAGACTCACAGCAGACCTCCTGCTTGAGCATCTGCAGTTCTAGGAGTACAGGCCTGACTCTTCTTGATGGTTTGCTTTGGTTTGCTTTGGTTTGATTCTGGTCTTATTCAGGAACCCAAGTTAGATTTGAGCTTAGAATTCTCCTTCCCATCTATTTGAGCTCTGGGATTGCAGGTACTCCTTACCACGTCAGCCTCTATATGTTTGTTTGTTTTATCTAAATTAAAAACACCAATTTCAACAGGTTTTTGTTTTAAATTAATATTATTAAAGAGTTTTCTTTTAATCAGAAGTAAAAGAATATTAATAAACTATTTAAAACATAATACAAATATAATTGGATCAGACATGATAGCAAACATTTTTGCTATTAGGTTTAATAGCAAAAAAAAACCCTCTTAGTTTATATTGTTCATTGAAGACATACTCTAATCATTTACTTCTAATTAATTTTCTCAGTTGGGCAAAACTCATTTTTTTGAATTTGATCTGTTACTATGTTCAGACCAATTTCCTAGAGCCACGATTTGCTTACCTGCTTCCACAATATCAAGTAACTGTTACTTGTAAGAATTCTGCAAAATGATGTCAGCATATTCATTTTCACTTTTTAGATGAAAATGTAAGAAATAAGTACCATGTGGTAAAGCAAAGAATAAAAATAATTTTTTTATTACATTCTTTTTAGTGCTTTATGTTGCTTGGTTGATTTTTGTTTATTTGAGACACTTGCCTCTGTTTCCCAAGTGCTAGGATTAAAGATGTACACTACTACACATGGCCCTGCTTTATGATTTTACTTAACCTATGCAAAAATTACCTGGTTCCAAGTCATTAAAATATTCGGCTTTTTTGATTTTAAAGTTCATTTTTAAATTTTTTCTTTTTTCTTTTTTTATTTTTCTATAATTATTTTTTATATTAATCACAGGTTATTTACTTTGTATCCCAGCAGTAGCCCCCTTTCTCAATCCCTCCTCTCCCAATCCCGCCCTCCCACCCTCATCTCCTCCCTGCCCCTTTCCAAATCCATTGATAGGGGAAGTCCTCCTCCCCTTGCATCTGACCTTAGCTTATCAAATATCTTCAAGACTGGCTGCAATGTCCTCCTCCTCCTCCTCCTCCTCCTCCTCCTCCTCCCCCTCCTCCTCCCCCCCCCCCCCCCCCTCCCCCACCTCCCCCTCCCCCCCCCCCCCCCCTCCTCCTCCCCCTCCTCCTCCTCCTCCTCCTCCTCCTCCTCCTCCTCCTCCTCCTCCTCCTAGCAAGGCTGTTCCTCCCTCAGGGTCAGGAGGTCAAAGAGCCAGCCATTGAGTTCATGTCAGAAATAGTCCCTGTTCCCCTTAATAGGATGCCCACTTGGATACTGAGCCACCATGGGCTACATCTAGGTTATATCCATACATGGTCTTTGTTTGGAGAAACAATATCATAAAAGACCCCTGTGCCCTGATATATTTGGTCCTTGTGGAGCTCTTGTCCTCTCCAGGTCATAATAACTCCCCCTTCTTTCATATGATTCCCTGCACTCTGCCAAAGGTTTGGTTATGAGTCTCAGCATCTGCTTTGATACACTTCTAGGTAGTCTTTCAGAGGCCCTCTGTGGTAGGCTCCTGTCCTATTACTTGTTTTCTCTTACTGCCAATGTCCATCCCATTTGTCTTTCTAAATAAGGATTGATCATCTTACCCATGGTCCTCTTTCTTGTTTATCTTCTTTAGGTGTACATATTTATGTGAATTTACTCATTTCGTATCCCAGCTGTAGCCCCCTCCCTCATCTCCTCCCAATTCCGCCCACATTTCTACTTCTCCGGTGCCCCTTTCCCAGACCACTGATAGGGGAGGTCCTCTGACCCTAGCATATCAGGTCTCACAGGTCTGTCTGCATTGTCTTCCTCTGTGGCCTGGTAAGGCTGCTCCCTCCTAAGGGGGAGGTGATCAAAGAGCAGGCCAATCAGTTCATGTCAGAGAAAGTCCCTGTTCCCATTAATATGGAACTCACTTGGACACTGAACTGCTATGTGCTACATTTGTGTAGGGGTTCTAGGTTAACTCCATGAATGATCCTTGTTTGGAGTATCAGTCTCAGAAAAGAAACCTGTGTCCAGATTTTTTGGTTCTGTTGATTTCCTTGTGGAGCTCCTATCCTCTCCAGATGTTACTGTCTCCCCCTTCTTTCATAAGATTCCCTGCATTTTACCCGAACTTTAGCTATAAGTCTCAGCATCTGCTCTGATACCCTGCAGGGTAGAGCCTTCCAGAGGCCCTCTGTGGTAGGCTCCTGTCCTGTTCCCTGTTTTCTCCCTCTTCTGATGTCCATCCTCTTTGCCTTTTTTGAATGGGGATTGAACATCTTAGCCAGAGTTGTCCTTGTTGATTAGTTTCTTTGGTGTACAAATTTTAGTATGTTGAACCTAAAGATGCTCAAGTATACAACAAGGACATCTGCTCAGCCATGTCTGTAGCAGCTTTATTTGTAATAGCCAGAAGCTAGAACAACCCAGGTGCCCCTCAGTTGAGGAATGGATACAGAAATTGTGGTACATCTATACAACGGAATATTACTCAGCAATAAAAAACAAGGAAATCATGAAATTTGCATGCAAATGGTGGGAACTGGAAAAGATCATCCTAAGTGAGGTATCCCAGAAGCAGAAAGACACACAGGGGATTTTGGATTTCTTGTTATTCCATATGAAGTTGAGAATTTTTCTTTCAAGGTGTAAAGAATTGTGTTGGTAATTTGATGGGAATTACATTGAATTTGCAGGCTGCTTTTGGTAAAATGGACATTTTTACTATGTTAATCCTGCCAAGCCATGAGCAGGGGATATCTATCTTCTGATATCTTCTTCTAATTCTTTCTTCAGATTCTGGTAATTTTTTTCATGCAATCTTTGACTTGCTTGGTTAGGGTTACACCAAGGTATTTTGTGTCCTTTGTGGCTATTGTGAAGGGTGTTGTTTCCCCAATTTCTTTCTCAGCCCATTTGTCTTTTGTATACAGGAGGGCTACTGATTATTTTTGAGTTAATTTAGTATACAGCCACTTTGCTGAAAGTGTTTATCAGCTGAAGGAGTTTCCTGGTAGAATTTTGGGTATCACTCATTTATACTATTATATCATCTACAAATAGATACTTCGACCTCTTCCTTTCCGATTTGTATCCCCTTGATCTCCTTTAATTGTCTTATTGTTCTAGCAAGGACTTCAAGGACTATGTTGAAGCGATATGGAGAGAGTGAACAGCCTTGCCTTATCCCTGATTTTAGTGGGATTGATTTAAGTTTTTCTCCATTTATTTGATGTTGGCTATAGGCTTGCTGTATATTGTCTGTACTATAGTTAGGTAAGTGCCTTATATCCCTGATCTCTCCAGGACGTTAAATGTAAACAAATGTTGGATTTTTATCAAATGCTTTTTCAGCCTCTAAGGAGATTACCATGTGGTTTCTTTTTCTTTCAGTTTGTTTATATGGTCGATTACATTGATGGATTTCCATATATTGAATCACGCCTGCATACCTGGGATGAAGCCTACTTGGTCATACTGGATGATATCTTTGATGTGTTCTTGGATTTTGTTTGCTAATATTTTGTTGAGTTTTTTGCATCAATGTTCATAAGGGAGAGTGGCCTGAAATTCTGTTTCTTTGATGGGTCTTTGTTAGGTTTAGGTATCAAGGTGACTGTGGCTTCATAGATTGAGTTTGGTAATGTCCCTTCTGTTTCTTTTTTGTGGAATAGTTTGAAGAGTATTGGTATTAGCTCTTCTTTGAATGTCTGGTAGAATTCTGTGCTGAAACCATCTGGCCCTGGGCTTTTTTTTTTTTTTTTTTCTTCTTCTTCTTTTTTTTTTTTTTGGATAGGAGTCTTTTGATTGCAGCTTCTATTTCCTTAGGGGATATAGGACTATTTAATTTATTTACCTGGTCTTGATTCAGCTTTGGTAAGTGGACTCAATCCAGAAAATTGTCTATTTCATTTAGATTTTCAAATTTTTTTGTGTATAGCCTTTTGAAGTAAGACCTAATAATTGTTTGGATTTCCTCAATGTCTGTAGTTATGTCCAGTTATGTCCCCCTTTTCATTTCTGATTTTGTTGATTTGGATAGTGTCTCTCTGTCTTTTAGTTAGTTTGGCAAAGAGTTTGTCTATCTTGTTGATTTTCTCAAAGAACCAGCTCTTTGTTTCTTTGATTCTTTGAATTGTTTTCTTTAATTTATTTATTCCAGCTCTAAGTTTTATTATTTCCAACCATCTACTCCTCTTGGGTGTGTCTGCTTCTTTTTATTCTAGGGCTTTCAAGTAAGCCATTAAGTTGCTTGTATGAGATGTTTCAAATTTCTCTTGAAGGCACTTAGTGCTGTGAACTTTTCTCTTAGCACTGCTTTCATTGTGTCCCATAAGTTTGGGCATGTTGTGCCTTCATTTTCATTGAATTCTAGGAAGACTTTAATTTCTTTCTTTATTTCTTCCCTGACCCAGCTGTCATTGAGTAGTGAGTTTACAGTGTCCATATGTGTGTAGGTTTTTTGCTACTTCTGTTTTTTTTCTTTTCTTTTTTGAGGTTCAGCTTTAGTTTATGGTGGTTAGATAAGATACAAGGGATTATTTCAATCTTCTTGCATCAGTTGAGGCTTGCTTTGTGACCAACTATATGGTCTATATTGGAGAAGGTTCCATGAGGTGCTGAGAAGAAGGTTAATTTTTTTTGTGTTTGGGTAAAAGGTTCTATAGATGTCTATTAGGTCCATTTGATTCATGACCTCTGTTAGAGTCATTGTTTCTTGCTAAATTTCTGTTTTCTTGACCTGCCGTTTGTTGAGAGTGGGGTGTTGAAGTTTCCC